CCTTTAGCAAGAAAATTCATGCATCCACCATATTGTCCCTCGTTGCAATTTTCAGACAGAATTACATAAGGTGTGTGTGTATTCAAACTAAGACTTTATAATCTCTATAAACAGATTATACGGTAGGCAACGGGACAAGATGCTACATCTGATTAGTAGGGATCAGGCTTCCAATTTTAGTCTGAGTGATATTGCCCTGTCAAGTTTGAAAAGGTTCTGGTTAATTGCAGGTAAACAGTCTGTGTGAAGAACACAAGAGACGGAACGCATTAGACCAAATGCAATCTCCGAACCTATTGGCTATCAACCTATCAACTCTTTAGCTTGAAACTAACTTGAAATTAGCTTTTAACAAGGCTACTTGTGAAACAATCTGGTTTTCGAAATCTCAACTCAGACTCCATTCTAGAGTCTCATATGGCTTATCAGTAAACAATTGGTGATGCACAGAACAATAAGTCTTGTTGAAATGTCACTGTGTGGCCATGGTGTCTAACTGGCTTCAGAGCCCGGCACTCGACAAAACTACACCTGGCTGGTTGTGGTTTTATAAAAATTTAAATAAAAGTCAAAGTTGGCTTGGCGGCTAGCTGAACATGTTTTCAGGTAGGCTAGGAGGCCACTCAGTCCTCTGATTGTTACATTCATGTTAAACCCATGGAAACATTTGTTCAACTCTGTTTGGTTATCTTGCAATCTAGATTGTTTGTTGAAGTACTCATTGATATTTTTTACTTTTGTAATAACCTTTCCCCACCTTAGTCTTTTCCAGTGCTCCATAGAAAGCAGAAGGGTAACTATTAAAGTCACTTACAAGTGTTGTATTCAATTTAGGTTTGCCAGGCCCTTGTCATGTCACCGCTGAGTAATTGGCATGCCTTATGGGCACCTGCATGTACTGTAACAGAGCCACAGTAAACTTTTATTTTACTCACACTTCCTCTACTGTCCCAGGTAAGACATTTCTATTCACAGTGTAGCGCCACCTTTTAACAACCTGAATGAGGTCTAATCTGGCAACACTGTGACGGTCACGGGGGTTTCACAACTACCAATATTTACTAGTCGACTAGTTTTTCAAAATAGTAGTCGACTAGTCGACTAGTCGTTACGTCATAATAAAGACACACAAAGAGAGGTTTACAACTGTATTTTCTATTGGAACTCATACAGTAACATTAAACACTGCATTTTAATTTGTGTTACATGGCTGAGTAAATAACAAACACTGGACTCACCAAAATCGACAGCAAAAAACTCTTGTTTACATAAATGCCACGTAAATCCAGTGCGCAACAGCGCATTGCGCAACACTTTATTCGCTGTCCTCCACGATAACCTCCACCTTTCAATATTTTTGGTTTGAACACCAACGCATCGACATGTGAGGGAAGGCGGCTTGACCGCTTTCGGGTGACAGTGTTGCCTGCCAGGGAAAAAACCCTCTCACTCGGGGTGCTTGTGGCTGGAATAGCCAGGTAGCTCCTCGAAAGCGGGGGAAGCGGGGCACGTTTTCTGCCCACCACTCCAGTGGATTATCCATTGTGGGGATATGCGGTGTCCGCTGGCAGTAATCCCGTAGCTCATCATCCGCATCACTGTTGACCCGTGTTTTCTTGCTGTTCGTCTGCCTCTGTTCAGTGCTGACGCCGGTCCGTTGCTCACTGGTGCTAGCATTACTGCTAGTGCTAGCTGTCGGCAGCGGGTGTTTCATCTTTAGATGGTTGCGCATAGCAGATGCATTTGTATTGTACTTCAGTACAGCTGTACACAACTGACACTTCACTGTGGAGTTGGTTACATCTTCGTTGAAGTACTGCCATACATAAGAATGTCAGACGTGTTTTGTAGCATTTTGCAGCACCTCGTTTACCTCAATTTTTTTCACGACTAGTCGACTAGGGCCTACAGCGCCGACTAGTGGTAAATAGTAGTCGACTAGTCGACTAGTCGTTACGTCATAATAAAGACACACAAAGAGAGGTTTACAACTGTATTTTCTATTGGAACTCATACAGTAACATTAAACACTGCATTTTAATTTGTGTTACATGGCTGAGTAAATAACAAACACTGGACTCACCAAAATCGACAGCAAAAAACTCTTGTTTACATAAATGCCACGTAAATCCAGTGCCCAACAGCGCATTGCGCACCACTTTATTCGCTGTCCTCCACGATAACGTCCACCTTTCCATATTTTTGGTTTGAACACCAACGCATCGACATGTGAGGGAAGGCGGCTTGACCGCTTTCGGGTGACAGTGTTGCCTGCCAGGGAAAAAACCCTCTCACTCGGGGTGCTTGTGGCTGGAATAGCCAGGTAGCTCCTCGAAAGCGGGGGAAGCGGGGCACGTTTTCTGCCCACCACTCCAGTGGATTATCCATTGTGGGGATATGCGGTGTCCGCTGGCAGTAATCCCGTAGCTCATCACTGTTGACCCGTGTTTTCTTGCTGTTCGTTTGCCTCTGTTCAGCGCTGACGCCGGTCCGTTGCTCACTGGTGCTAGCATTACTGCTAGTGCTAGCTGTCGGCAGCGGGTGTTTCATCTTTAGATGGTTGCGCATAGAAGATGCATTTGTATTGTACTTCAGTACAGCTATACACAACTGACACTTCACTGTGGAGTTGGTTACATCTTCGTTGAAGTACTGCCATACATAAGAATGTCAGACGTGTTTTGTAGCATTTTGCAGCACCTCGTTTACCTCAATTTTTTTCACGACTAGTCGACTAGGGCCTACAGCGCCGACTAGTGGTAAAGGTAGTCGACTAGTCGACTAGTCGATTAGTTGGTGAAACCCCAGAGACGGTGTATTACTTTTACTATAATGTATTTTACAGAGGGGCAACATTTCAACATGTGTTGCTTCTACAGTAGTCTGTCAGTAGTGACAGTCATTTGTGATAGCAACAGTAGTCCAATAGACAAGTTATACATCAGGTAATTTACTAATAAAATCTCCCTGTATCAAATATAGGCATAAAATCCCTTCCTTGTCTTGTGATAATATAATACATAGGAAACATGGAATGCATTCAGAGAATGGACTGGAACACATCTTAATAGTGATGACATTTTAATGTCCTGTGTCTAGAATTGTGGTGTGTCTCATATTGAAGTCAACCTGCTAGTGCATCCAGACTGGAGACGAGGCTACATCACATCAGAAGGCGAGGGGGGGGGGGTTCAAACGACTTAAACAGGTTCAAACGACCTCACCCCCTCCATGCACCACCGCGGTGCACTGAAAGGATTCAATGGGTTTGTAGTGTAGTGACAGAAATAAAGCAAGCATTTACCTTTCTTTTGCAGGCGACAGAGCCTTCACACACAAGGGCTGCCTCCTGTTGAAAGCAGGGAGGGAGGTCGATGCATCGTAAAGGAACAAATCTCCCGACGCGTCCATTTTTATTGTGTCCACTTACTCCTGGTAATAAAACGTGCAAATTAGAGCATGCAAAACACTGAATCTATAACGTGCATCTCCTCACTGGACCAGTCAAACGTGCAGAAATAACGAAGTGTAAGTCGACAAAACGAGCACATCCACGGTGTGTGGCGGAACGGGGGGACTTTGTAAAGATGTGAGAATGCATTAGAATGCAAGAAATGGTGTGATGGCGAGAGGGACTGTTGGGAGAGACAGATCTGCATATGGAAATTAGGGTTAGCGTGGATAAAATACTACTTCGACCACTGTAATAATTGTAGTGGTACCCTTGCAGGGTGAAAACAAGTGACTAATAATACTAACATGTCTAAAAAAAAGTCATATCATGGGGCAGGTGCTGTGGTCAAACATAAAAGCACTTTCATTAACATCTATTACATGTGCTAAAGGCTATCACGTTTCTTTAATAACAACCATATGGACATTTTAGACTGAGCAGTGTTTTCGCGGGTTTCTGTTATGGCCTGTGTAAATTAAACGTACACCTGTAACTCTTTTTGTAAACAAAGACTAAACAAAAACGTTTTAAACTAATTTAATAACATTCTATGGAGAGGGAAAATAGTTCGCAGGGTTTCAGTGAAGACCTTGACTTTCCTCCTTCACAAAACTCTAGAAATAAAGACGTTAAAACAAGCATAAGTCATGTCCAACAAGTACAGAACATGAGCACACTCTACCTGCAGCAACAAATGCGAAGAAGGAAGCGCGTGGCAGTGAGCCCTCTTGTTGTCTGTCGATCAACTCGACAGGGTCACGCCCACTTTGAAACTTCAGACCAATCAACGGGCGCAGGGTGGGTGAGCGCATGCGTGAAGCGGAAGCGCGGGAGACTCTGAAAACCCAAACAACGGAGCCCTGACAGCAATGTGAACTGTGTGTTGCTTTACATTTACGGAATATAACATTTCATAAGAAGCCGGATTCAAGGTTGTAAATGTTTTACAAGATGTGTTTCTCTCGGAGCGCTCATGTGTTTAGTTTCCCTGTTAGGAATGCTGATTTGTAGGTTTACTAACGCTAACTCTGCATTCATAAGCAGATACTAATCTTACTAAAAACGTAGGATGTCGGCTTATCCACTGGCAAACGCATACACCTTGTAGAGAGATAGATCCTTTTATAACAACAACTGCTGTCCTGTGGGATGCATTATGAAGTAAGGTTCAATTGCTATGTTGTTTAGCATGTAATCTGTAGTTTTGAAGCAAGGCAACAAAAACAATTGCCAGATTGTTAATATTAGAAGAAGACGTCATATTTATACAGCTGAATAATGTCAGCTTCTGTTTGATTTAACGTATTTTCTGACCTGTTAGGTATTGTGTGTGATTTGTTCTAATGTCCTGCGTAAGATACAAATAATAGCTGTCTTCTACTTGCATTTAACATATTGTATGCACATCTTTGCTGTGCATCTTCTTCATAGAGTATGTGCATCCCAGCTGCTTTTTTTCTGTAACTGATTCAAAACATTACCTAGGATTTGGGGAACAATCTTGTAATTAATATGTTAGTCATTAAAGGTGATACTGATTCTACAGTGGTAGAATGGCAGACGACTTCAGCCAATCCCTCACCCCTCCAGTTTCTCCCTTCGCCGCTGACAGCTTCTGTGATATGACTCCAGCTCGTCCTCCATGCTTCTGCTGCTCTGAAACAAAGGAGGACCCCACTGGAGCACTCTCCCCCCTGGGCTATGCTGCCGGAGGCTCTCTGAAACGGTAGAGTTACTGTCTTTCGTAAAACATGTTTTTCCCACTACTGTTATCACTGTACTGTTTTGTGAAAATGTCCCATTGAAAGCTGTCCTCAGCAACTCTCTGGATTATCCTGAGTAACTGGAGAAATGCTCTAATAACACACACTTCTGTTGATTTTCTTTCAAAGGTCAGACCTTGATGCTGCGAGAACAAAAAATGAAATGCCACTTTTCCCCATTTAACGAGTGGCAGAAGAAGTCCTAGAACATTTTTTAATGAAGTCGTAACAGATGTGACTGTTTCCTCTCCGCAGGCTGCTGCTGCGCCTCGATCCGGCCCCCACAGAGTATGAAACAGACACAGTGGAGATCTTTGGTTTCCCCTGGGTCACAGAGACCGCATTGGTGGAATCCACAAAGCTACTCTTTGGTTTGTTCAGGTAAGCCAAGATATAGAAAAGATCTTCGTTAATTTCACTTAAAAATGTCATTTTTTATTTTTGTTGCTACAGACAGCCTATGTAAAGGTCATTTGAAACTGTTCACCATTCACATATATGCCACTGGTCTTATTTGCTCTTCGTTATATTTCAGGCAGAAAGTCTACAGGCTGGAGTCCTTGGTGCAGTCCAGCTCACATGACTTTGGTAAGTTTGTGCAATATGTGTTTGAGGGCTGCACGATTTGGAAAAACTAACTAATTGTGTTGACTGATATTGCAATTGGGAAATGATTTGCAACTCTAGAGGTAGTCAACATTTCACATTTATCCGAAAAATACTGCACTTGCTACAATTTCTACAGTTTACTTGTCCATATAGCAATTTCAATAAAATGTAAATGAATTGTGCAGCAATATTGTAGTCCAGAGCTTTCATTTGTATATCTTATGATATAATTGTTTCCACACAGTAGGCCTGTATTTGCTTACATTAATGGACATCTTACGTGTTTTTAAGATGCATATATTGTTTGTACATCGGCAAACACATAATGTATTTAGAGTAAACAGGATTTGCATATGTTTTGGTTTTAAAATGTAGCTGGAGTTTAGCATCCTTTTACACTTGGAGAGAAGAGAAGAAGTCAAATTGCTCCCTTAGGCGCCTCAAATTATAAACTTTAAATAATGTTGTTGAATTCTGTTTGAACTTAAGACCTTTCAAATTGGCGGGCAGTCGGTGTAACCAGTGAGCTACATATCAGCCAGGAAAATTACTTTGCTCAAGGCCAAAGACCAAATCAATGCAACATACAATACATGCATATCAGGTGATTAGTTTAATTAACTGAGGAAGCAGCAGCAAAAGCAATGAATAATAAAGATATTGTCTGTTTTTCTGAAGTTAGCACACTAATTAATCAGCTATCTGTTCCAACAAATGAGTTTGCAATAATGAGCTCTACTTCCAGTGTTTGAGTCGTGTGTGTTTCTGATAAGGTGTGCTTGTTTTGCATAAGTTTAAGGAACAACATCTGTCATGTGTTTAGGTCAAGCAGGCAACCTCCACTATGAAGCCGAGGACCTCAGACAGCAGTGTGTTTCATTTCTCCAGTATGTAAAGGTCTTCCTGCACAGGTACATCTACATTAAGTTTACCAGTAATGGAAATGTTGGTTCTCTAGGTCTATTTTGGACCCTCATGTCCCTTGCTTTGTTTTTTCAGATTCTTCGAACCCACTTACTCCTTGGATACGAGTGATTCTCACCCCTATGAGGAGCTGGAGGCTCAGCTCCCCTCCGCTCTGCTGGAGGAGGTTTTTGGCATCACGCTCCTCGTTGGACGGCTCAAAGACCTGCCTGCAAATGTTCAGAGTGCCTTCACTATAGCTAACCCGGGAAAGGTGTGTGTGGCGGCTTCAGGTTCTCTTCTAAAGCAGATAGGGCTTTTTAAAGAAGGTGCTACACAAGTGTGGATGGCATACATGTAATAAATACTTACAGAACAAAGGATATCAAATAAACTGTTTGTAGGAATGATTCCTGTGGGAGAGAATCTCCCTCTGGTGGGAACTTTGTGATTTTAGCCTCTGCAGACCATTTACATGCACAAAAACCTATATAGCACACTATAGGAAAGGGAAACTCAAAAAGCATATTAGGGCCCCTTTAAGTCAGTGAACTTTGGTACATCCCACCACTGCTTATAATCACCAGCGTCAGCCAGATGTGATGGTATTTAATATAACTTGAGAAAGTATTTCCAGTGGATTTTTCTACTATTTACTCAGTGTTCTGTATCCCTCCCACAGATTTTTCCTCCCTCTTGGCATTTGTTGCACCTTCATCTTGACGTCCACTGGTCGGTCTTGGAGATCCTTCACATACTAAGTCACAAGATGCAAGGTATGTGTCCAAGATATTCATATGTGACATGTATTATATTACAGTTTAGAGACTGATTGTAACTGTGAATTTGAATCCAATCCATTGAAAGCATTGTTAAACGTTTTACGGGAGGAAAATGACATGCAAATGTGGAATTGTTGCAGCTACAGAGACTCTTTTTACATAAAGTTTTACTGATTGCACAGTGGGCATAATCTCCTGACTTGCAGCTCATTATCATGGAAACAGGCTTTTAGTAACTTCACCTGTTTTCTCTCTACAGGCCAGGTGGTGTACGCCCACCAGTTTGTGAACCTGACGGGAGAGAACCTGACCGATAGCAGTCTGTTTGAGGAGCACCTGTGCAGTCTGCTGTGTGACCTCACTGCTCTGGCCATGGGCAAATACAGCAAGGTGGGCGTCTGGCCACAGCTCATTACATGCTTCTGTTGAGATGTAGCAGCAGTGTTTCTGGGTACTTTTCTAACTGGGAAAAAAATGTAACTGGGAAAAAAATGTAATTGTGGTATTACAATATGTTCATTATAACATTTAGTGCTTGGTTGATAGAATATGGATGGAAACTGTGGATAGCACATACAGAATATAAATGTGTCCTCTGTCATCATACTTACAAAAGGTTTTCCCCTGGAAAATGATAATAATTATATTTTAAAATGTTTTGCTTGCTGTATACTTATACAGTGTTTGTCGAAAATATACATTCCTGGATTGGAAATGTCACCTAGTTAAGTAAAAGTATTATACATATTTAACAGAAAATTGCCATTATGCAGAAAAAACAACAACTTAAAAGCATGCTTAAAAGACAATTAAAAAACAATTATAATGATAAAATAATGTTGATAGATTCGATAACATATCTCTAAACTAATTTCTTCTGTAATTGACTACGCTGTTCTTGTATTGTTTTTTTAAATTATAACAAACTACCATATTTGAAAACCTCTTGATTTCATGCATCACCTGGATAATTCGTAAAGTTACTAAAGCTGTAAAATAAATGTAGTAAAGTAAAAAAGTACAATATTTCCCTTTGAATTTAATTGAGTTACAGGAGGAAGTAGCATGAAAATAAACTATTCAAGTAAAGTATACGGGGATAAAATGTGCACTTAAGCACAGTACTTAAGTAAATGTAATTACACTGAACAAAAATATAAACGCAACACTTTTGTTTTTGCTCCCATTTTTCATGAGATGAACTCAAAGATCTAAAACATTTTCTATATACACAAAATAACCATTTCTCTCAAATATTGTTCACAAATCTGAAAAAATCTGTGATAGTGAGCACTTGTCCTTTGCCGAGATAATCCATCCCACCTCACAGGTGTGGCATATCAAGATGCTGATTAGACAGCATGATTATTGCACAGGTGTGCCTTAGGCTGGCCACAATAAAATGCCACTCTGAAACGTGCAGTTTTGCTTTATTGGGGGGGTCCGAAAACCAGTCAGTATCTGGTGTGAGGGTTAGGGTTAGTGTAATGTTGTGAATCGAGTGGCCTGTGTTCATCGTCCATAACATACGCCTGCCGCATACCATAACCCCACCACCACCATGGGCCACTCGATTCACAACATTACCCTAACCCTAACCCTCACACCAGATACTGACTGGTTTTCGGACCCCCCCAGACCCCCCCAATAAAGCAAAAATGCACGTTTCAGAGTGGCCTTTTATTGTGGCCAGCCTAAGACACACCTGTGCAATAATCATGCTGTC